AGGTAGAATGCCTACACAGAAGCTTGCTAAACCAGTTCCTCTGCCAAGGTAATGGCTTTGGCTGGCTAGTCAATGGTCATGATTTAGCATAACCAGATCAGTGGCTGTGCCTTTCTCAGACCCTCCTCACCTAGCTGCTATGTAGGAGGACAATAGGCCAGAGCTGGAATCTGGAGACAGAGACATGCCTTGCTTCTCTCTGGATCTAAAGTTATGACTAAGGAATCCCTCCATCTAGGCTCCATCCCTCCACGCTCAGGTTGTATATATGTGTAAATATAACCACATATACTAAAGACACCACAGTCTCTGCTGATCTTCATTCCAAGGAAACTGAACCCAGGGCAAAGTGCAGGAATCCCAGAAATCTTTCACCGCTTGGAAATTGGGTGTGTAACAATACTTTTGGTTACGCACCAGCAATCCTTTCTAAATTTGCACCTATATCTGTACATTAACATAAGCAAATTTTTATGCCAACTGATGCCCCCCTTTCATCCTCTTTTTTTCCATTATGCGTTTCCGCTTCTTTTGGCAACGCTAAAGCGGCTTCTCCATTCATGGTCTGGCAAAACAGTTCCAGATTTAAGAGAAATAGGCAACAAAAAGAGTAAGGGGCGATGGCAGAAGAGGGGGGACGGGGTGGATGGACCCGAAATTAGCACGTCCAAGCGGCAAAAGGGTCTGGTGGTAAGCTGTACAGTTCAATGAACCGCTGCTTACATCAGCAAGATGGCTTGAAATGTCCTTCCCCTTCTGTTTTTCATCTACAAAGATTGTGTACTCAGTAGAGTGTTAAGAGAGGCTCCTTTCTCCTCTGAACAGTCTCTTGCTACTTCTCTCCCCCTCCGCCCCCCTACACAGATGCACCCCCGCAACAGCCCCTGCAGCAGAAAACAGGAACTAGAGCAAATGCTTTTGTGAATTAAGAGATCTCGCAAGCGTAAATTTGGTCAGGCTGCTCCTTTCTGCAGGCCAGAGGCGCTGCTGCCGCCCCAGGAAGTGAACTGTCAGTTTGCATAGCTGGTGACGAGCTACAGAGCCGTCAGTTAAAAAGGTGAAGACTGCAGAAGCAAGGAGGAATCAAGACTGGTGGAAATCGTTTTTCACAAGGAAAATTTCAGCCATCAGAAAAAAGGGAGAGGAAGCTTTTGAAAAACAACAACAAAAAACAACAGCGGCAGCAACAGCAGCAGCAACAAAACTGCTGCCATTTCCGAGTCAGGATGAAGGAAAAATTAAATTACTGCCGGTGAAGAGAGCCAAAGTTGCATCTTACCCTGGGGAGGGTTACGATAATGGTAAACATTTGACAGCTGGCCTGGAGTTGTTATCTTGGCCTAACAGTTGTTAGACCGAGAGTGAACATTTCTGATAAGAAAGACTTTTGATTTCTCGCTCTCTATAGTTTTGGTCTGCACAGCCCAAAGCTAAACAGGTTTTAAGCAGCCAGGACATCAGCATGTGTGCGTGTGAACAGGGGGGAGGGCTTGGAGACAGCAGGAAAGGCCACCTTTTAGACTTGCTCTAAAAGCAATTTCTTCCATCACGCTCTTAGGGGCCGATCCAAAAATGAGCTGAATCTAATTTGCATCCTTTTCCATGAGCGTTGAAGAGTGGCTCCTGTTTTCAGCAGTTTGTCAACATCGTTACCTTTGCACGCTAGACGAGTTTCTGCATACACTCGTGCACACCTCTCTCTGTCCTCCATCCAGGCAAGCACGAAGCATTAACAGAGTGCAAGGCCTCACTCCAGCCAAGCAAGAACACTCAAGGAGGGGACCAGTCAGGATCATAGAGGTGTGTGGCCTAGAAAGAGAGCGCCAAGGGCCAGACCAAGAGGCCTGGAGGGCCACATTTAGCCTCCAGGCCTCAGGTTCCCCACCCATGAGTTGGACAAGGCTGGCCTAGATGGCTACAATGGCTTAATTCAGCTTGCAATGGCGGGGCCCACCACTGTTTGGAGGAAAATCTCTGTTGTCTCTTTTCACCCATCCTCATGGCCCAAATAATAGTTTAAGTTTTTCCATTCAACAATTCTGAGGGGGTCCCTCAAAAACCGCTCATCCCGCATGTTCCTGAAATTATTAAAGAGGCTTTGAAAATAAGAAGACAGCCACTGTTTTTCTGTGGGTCAAAAGTGTTTCATTAATACACTCCCTGCCTTCTAACTTTCTGTCTCTTTCCTTCCCCGACTCCAGTTATCTGACCTGCTTTAATACCAAAAAAAGAAAAGTGTATAAATTGATATTAAAGTATGGCATTTTGAGAATGTTTCAACCCAAGGTCAAACTTGTATTAAAAACTCAACTCGTCTAGGCTAAAACAACAGAGCAACCAAAAGGACTTCGATGCATCTGGGCCCAATTACCAGTTACATCCTCGACCAGAAGAGAACAAGGCAGGCGAGGCGGAGAGTTCATGAATAATGTCATCACTGGGTTACCCATGGAGAGAAAGGAGGCAGACCGTCCAAAACTCAATGGGTAGATGGGAAGCAAGAGCCTGTGATTCCTTCACCACTAGAAAACCCAAGGAAGAGCTCCATGTTTTATAAGAGATAAATTTCTCCTCCTAACCTGCACAACAGGCAGTGAAACTTCCCCCCATTTGTCACATTTAGAGCATCCCATTACCACATTCAGAACATACAAAGGTCCCTGCTGGACCAGACCAAAGGCTCACTTCACCCAGCATCCTGTTCTCACAGCAGCCAACCAGGTGCCTCTTGGGAAGCTGGCAAGCAGGACACAAGCACAACAGCAATAATTATGCATTTCCCAAGACGCAGAAAGAGCAAGAGGTGGCGCGATAGAAGTTTATAAAATTATGCACGGCACGGAGGAAGTGGATGAGAGAAAAGTTTTTCTCCTCTCTTAACACTAGAACTCATAGGTTTCCAATGAAGTTGAACGCTGAAAGCTTCAGGACAGAAAAAAGAAAGCGCTTCTTCATGCACTACATAGTTAAGCTGTGGAACTCACTTCCCCAGGAGGCAGTGATGGCAACCAACTTGGATGGCTTTAAAAGAATATTTGTGATAGCCTAGGAATCCGATTCAGAGGCTGAACCGGAGGAATCCCAGCCTGCACAGGAGTCCCCGCCTCCAGGGCCGGCTGAACTGGGGCAGGGCCTTGATTCTGAAGAGCCTACACCTGTGCTGGATCCTCAGGAGCAGGCACCAGGTAAATCCACTCTAGCTCCGGAGGTGGTTGAGGACTCAGTGCCTACAGGTGAGTCTCCCCTTGGGTCCAGTAACCCTTTAGCCTCTCCTGAACTGCAGAGGCTCAGGGCAGAGAGGCGGAGGGAACTGGTTTCTCCCAGGAGGAGTGCTCGCCTTAAGGCCAGAAGAGGCGGGTCTCCTGGGGGCCGGGACCACCCCTGGCCTCAGAGAAGATAAAGGCCAGTCAGCCCGGTCCCAGGTTGCGGGAGCAACGTCGTTGAAGAGCTGTCTTGGCCAGCACCCAGTCCGGTTCCCCCAGAGTTCCTGTCCTTGCCCGGCTCCTCGCTGTGGACCCCACTTCACCCGAGGAGGACTGTCTGCCGACCCTCAACTTAGGTCCTGGACCCCGCCCCACGGTAACCTCCCCCCTGGACCAGCACAATATTAGACATATTCACCCAGCATTCTGTTCTCACAGCAGCCAACCACATGTTTCCAACAAGCATCTGGTTGGCCCCTGGGAGGATAGGATGCTAGACTAGATGGGTCATTGGCCTGATCCAACAGATTCATATTATGCTCTTATATCATTATTTATACTACCAACTACAACCAGTGAGGCCCCTTTTCATGCATGTAGCTTTTCCATGTGATCAGGAAGCCCAGTTGCATGGGATTCTTAATGGGGAGAAGCGTCTAACTTTATACAGCTGCTGTATAAAGCTGCCTTTATTCAACTCAACCAGCGTGGCCCAGTGGTTAGTGTGTCAGACCAGGACACAGGAGACCAGGGTTCAAGTCTCCATTCAGCCATGAAACTCACTAGGTGACCTTGGGCCAGTCGCTGTCTCTCAGCCTAACCTACCTATCAAGATTGTTGTGGGGATAAAATGTGGAGGGGGAGAAGTGTGCATGCCACCTTGAGCTCCTTGGAGGAAAGGAGTGATATAAATGTAAAAAGAAATCAAGTTGATATATAAACATGCAGATTTTGGGGGCTGCAGCAAGAGAGGTGGGTCAGCTTTGAGTCATGGCTAGCCAGCATGGTCCCACTAAACGGTGCCACATGTTTGTTGAATGGAGAGTGGGGGCATGCGGCACACTTTAGTTGCAAACTAATATATGAATGGTGACAGAAATCAGACAACATATGTACACATGCAAGAACACGAATCAAGACCCTGGACTTGCAGACTACACTCAGGGCCACCCAAAACACAGAACTAAGCCCAAGGGCTTAATATTCTTCTCCCACCACCATACTGCATGGCAAACCTTTTAAATAATAATAATAATGAGGGGAGTTTAACAACCAGTGTGTGACAAGGTCAACTATTCAATAAAAATAGCCAAAGGTCCCACTGGACCTTATGTGTGCCTAAGCAGCTCTTTCAGTTCTGGCTCCTGAGACTCCTTGCCTATAGCCAGATGGAACAGGTTTCTATGGATAGGCTGGGTTTATACCTGGTGTTTAAAGTGCCACCTTTCCCTTGGTCTTGGGACCTATCTGAGCTCCATAGTACAGACTGAATTCAGCTCCTCTTTCCCCTCAGCCCCAGTTGGAGCCTGGTCCAGGGCTTGGTGAGCATGTAACCCCCTGGGCACTGCTAGACTACAACTCTCATCATTCTTGACCACTGTGCACACTGGCTGAGGCTGGTGGGAACTGAATTCCAGCAATATCTGAAGAGTTAAGAGGTCCCACAAAGGCTTTTAACACATTTGTTTGTAGTTCAGATAAGATTTCAGTTTAAACAAGGTTATTTTGGACAAGAGGCCTTTAACTGAGCTACGTTTTCAATCCTCTGCTTGACTCAGGCCCTGATCCCAGGGTCTCAAGCTCAGCCTTATCACTTCTTTCAGAGTGATGGTACCATATTTAGGATCTTGACCTAAGTGACCACCATGGGCAAAAAGCAGGGGAATCATGCAGCAAGTTATTTTCTGTGCTCTTTGCTCCAAGAACTTCTCCGCGAATGATCAAAGTTTAGCAGTAAACTGCTGTGATAAAGCACCATCCATTTTGCATGAGAAAGAGCTATTTTATGCCGTATTATCTCATTTTCCGTCTGCCTCTTGTTTGCAGCAAATGGGTAATACATCTTCAAAGTGACCGATCGGATTAAATTTAGAGGAGGGGGAGAGGAGGTACCTTTTGCTCGGTCAGCGTTTGTCAGAACGCTTCTCCCATATTAGAGCATAATGGGGGTTTTAAATCATGCACTACCCAGCAGCCATCTTAGACTTCTATTTATTATAAATTCATATCACTATAATGTATAAGGCCATTTCTTATAGAAAAGCAGAAGTATAAAACTTTCATGCCAGAACAGGATGGTTGTTTACTAATTTACAAACACAGATGAGTTCAATGCTGATTGTTGTAAGGACATATGCATTGCATTGCTGAATCCCAGGGACAGGCTCAGGCTGGCTTCTCTCTTTTGGTCTCACTTACGTCTTTCCACAAGCCACTCACAAAACTGTTTCCTTGTACAGTATCCTGTTGGCCCCAGCAGTCTTCTCTACATGGGGCAGCATAGCCTTGGCAAGGTAGCCTGATCCACTGGCTGCTTTCTGAGCCTGCTGGTTTATTTGGCTATTTCCTTATCATGCCGTAGATCCAGGCAGCATTTAAGAATGAGCACTTTTAAACTCAGCCCCTCAGGGCAGACCTACATGCAACATTTCGGCCTCCCCCTAGTGGACCACAGAAGAGTATCATGGGCTGGCGGGGAGCCACTCACAATGTGATGGATTGTCGGGAGCTTAGTGACAGTGTGGAAGATGGCTGCCTGGAGAGCAGCAGTGCATCTAGCTGAGTGCAAGGGGGAAGGTGCCAGGTGTCATTTAACAGAGGGGGCAGAGGAGGCCGCTAGGGCAGCACTGTAGGGGCAATGTGGCCGCTGAGAAGCTAGCAGCATTTAAAGCAAGTTGTGGGTTAAACCACAGAGCCTAGGACTTGCTGATCGGAAGGTCGGCGGTTCAAATCCCCACGATGGGGTGAGCTCCCGTTGCTCGGTCCCTGCTCCTGCCAACCTAGCAGTTCGAAAGCACATCAAAGTGCAAGTAGATAAATAGGTACCGCTCTGGTGGGAAGGTAAACGGTGTTTCCGTGCGCTGCTCTGGTTCGCCAGAAGCGGCTTAGTCATGCTGGCCACATGACCTGGAAGCTGTACGCCGGCTCCCTTGGCCAATAGAGCGAGATGGGCGCCGCAACCCCAGAGTTGGTCACGACTGGACCTAATGGTCAGGGTTACCTTACTGGCATCATGGCCTGCACTGATGCAGGATGGGCCCTGCGTGGCACAGTGTGAGCCACCAACATGCTTCCTTTGCCGCCCTGCTATACCCTCTGCAGGCTGCTGGGTGCTCCACATGCAATGGGGCTCAAGGGCAGACAGACAACAACTTTATGGGTGGCTGCTGACTTTAAAAACTGGCAGAATATGGTGGGTCCTGCACAGATCTGGAATTTGCTGTCTTTTCAGACTGTGGCATTTGGTCTTCTGACAGTTTTACTAGGTTAAGAACGCAAGAAGAGCCTGCAGGATCAGGCCAGTGGCCCATCTAGTCCAGCATCTTGTTCTCACAGTGGCCAGCCAGATGCTTGCGGGAAACCTGCAAGCAGGACATGAGTACAAGAGCACTTTCTGCCCTGTGGCTCCCAAGCAACTGGGATCCAGAAGCATAATCACCTCTGACCATGGAATCAGGGCACTGCCATCATGGCTGGTAGCCACTGACAGCGTTCTTCTCCAAGTTAGGTCAGTAAAATATCAGCTGTTGGGCCAGTCAGCATTTAGGTCTTTTACTCTTACTCGGCTACGAGTGATCGCCAAAAAAGAAGAAGAGGTCTTTTATATTTGGTGTGCTACATGTCAGAGAACTGCACAGCTTTGAGTCTTCAAATGCTGTCGCCCACCCCAACAAAAAAGGAGAAAGAACCAAACACACCATCTCTTAGCTACTTTCTCTCCAAACACTAATATGCTTGTGCATAAATAAAGCCTGTAGCTTACTTGGCGAGACTCTCACTGTGATGTGCCTATGGTGCTAACTCAGAGCAGAAAACACTCTTATTCCAGGCCACTGCAGTGAAGTGACATTTACCTAATGCAGCTATAAATTTCCTGATAATTAGTGGGTGGCTGACAATAATGCATTCTGACGAGTGCAACGGCGCCGGCCTGAAAACGAGCTCTCCCCAACACCCACAAGAACTTCAGCAGAGCCGCCAAAACCAGCATCGGCACGACACCCAGCAAAAGAAGAGCTGGCCTTTCCAGGGGTCCACTCCCTTCCGGCTCCTGAACCCAGAAGCACCCTGCAAACCTTCCAACTTCTACAGAGATGCCTTGATTTAGTTTTGTTAAAGCTGAGAAGAAACAACCGCACGTCCATTTGCAACCCCATTCTTGGGTGGTAAAAATGTTCTTCTTCAAGGTTACCATTCCCCCAGCTGAAGTCCTCTTTGAACAACGCTACACCCTGACGATGCATTTTTCTGAAGGGTATGGTCTGAAAGCACACCACCTTGTTGAAGCTAAGTAAGTCAGGGTCTGGCCAGCAGCTGGATGGGTGACCGCCTGGGAACCACATCTCTGTAGCCTTTCATTCCATGACTGAATTGTCCTGAGAAGGACTCAGGTTCAAACAAATCACAGATCCTCGGTGTCCCCTTTCTATAACTTCCCAGGCTGAGGACCTGGCTCTTTTCTCAGCCTCTGTGGATAATCCCCCCGTAGCGTCTCCTGTTCTACAGCCACACAGAAGTAGTCTATACAAATAGGCTACAGGACCTTTTTGTTCACAGCTCTCCTGGAAATTGTGTGTGTGTGTGTGTGTGTGTGTGTGTGTGTGAAGAGTCACTGACCCTGCCAGCCTTCTTAAACCTTCAGATGATGCTGATTCTTTGCTGAGGTAACATTTTCCACAGCTCAGAAGCAGGGCTTATCTGAAGCTGCCCATGGACCTGCCTTGCCTGGATCTGACTGGGAGAGGTGCCATTTCTGGATTCCATTCCCCATGAAGACTCCAGAAGAAGAGGCTATCAGGAAGATTAAGAGGACAGAAATAATAATGGTCAAGCAAAGGTCAGACCCCAAAATGTCTGAAGAATTTTGCTGCCTCTCCAAATTGGGCACCCCTTTTCACCCACAAAAACACACAAAAAAGAGAAAACTGAGTCTTAAGTTATGGAACTTTTTTTTTCATATGGAGATTTACCGAGTCTGGAACAGAGATATTTTCCTTCCATCCTGGCAGGCTATCGGCAACCAATACCTACAATAGCCAGCTGTAGCACAGAGTAGGAAGCAGAAGAACCAAGACACTTTCCATTAGGGATGAACCAATCAGCCTATTTCCATTTCATATTGGTTCCACTTGTGTTCAATCATGTCCGTTTCATCCTGTTTCTGTGGATTTTTTTTTTAAAGTACAAAAACTCCACTTTTAAATTATATTCATTTCCCCCTCCTCCACTTGCCCTAACGTTTTGTGCCCATTTCCCTGCTAAAATACATATTTTTATATGCTTTTGTATGAAGTTCCTCCTAAAATATGCACTTTGGTACATATTTCCTCATAAAACACACATTCTTACAAACATTTAAAAAACAAACAAACCAGCATTGCAAAATTCAAAGAAGTTAGCTGTGTTCTGATCTGTGGAAACGTTCACAAAATGTGAATTAGATCAGTTCACTTTAAAATGCAGACAAAACAGAATTCTCACCAATTCCTAACATTATCTATACCAACACAAGCGCACATACTTCATATTTTTTGTGTGTTCTTTTATTAACTTTTTTTTAAGGTCCAAGAATGTGGGGGGAATAGTTATCAAAATGCCAAGGCTGGTGTGAACAGACCGTGGAAAAATAAAGTCCCATTTAACGACGTGAGAACTCCGACAAAGCCATCAAGTTAAAAGAATTTCAAAATAGTTGAGCAGGGTTGAGGCATTAAAAAAAAACACACCACTTCTCTATGTAAAGAGCAGAGAGAAAGGGGGGACAGGGGGAAGCGTCTGCCAAGGGTTAATTGCAACCCTGCATGAACAGCAGTTAACAAGTGAGAGTTAGAACACCCAGGAGAAAAAGGAAAATTTTTCCAATGCCATGAGAAATAAACAACAAGAAAGTGGGGGGTGGACAGGAGAGATATTTCCTTTGGCCACTCCATTACCAGCACTCCAAAAGCGTAGAGGAGAGAGTTCTGGGAACGCCAAGGCCCGGCGTGCTCTCCACTCCCTCTGAAACATTTGTCTTCATTACCACTCTTTTTAATCAGGGTTCTTTCATGAGTGTTTCTGCCCGGCCCCCAAGGGGTGGCTCTCGGCCACGATAAATCAGCTTCTCCCACCGCAAGTCACTAATCAGCACTCTCCGGGAAAGAACAACAGCGAAAAGTGTAGACCACGGAAAGCTGGGAGGAAACCCGGAGGCTTCACGGGGCCCCAAGGAAGGCCTTCTTCGCTGGGCAGAAGGAACCGCTTGACCGTCACTGTCTTCTGGGCCGACTGGGGCTCACAGACCCAGAAATTAGTTAAAAGCAGCTCAGGCTTTGCAGCGCAGCAGGGGGAGATGCCGCGAGGCAGTTGGTAGAGTGTGGCACTTCCATCAGAGAAGTTTGGGTTTCTGTTAAGCTGAGAACATGGCAGGGTTGCCAGTTGGCTTCCGGGCACAATTCAAGGTGTCTGTGTTAGTGTTTAAAGTCCTAAATGACTCAGGCCCCCAATATCTGAAAGACTGCCCTCCTTCCCTGCAGACCCTCCCAGGTTGGCAGTCGGAGCCGTTGGAGCTTCCATCACACTTAGCTCAGGGGTGGTGGCAGCCTGAGACAAGGCATTCTCTGAGGCAGCCCCACAGAGGTGTGCCTGGCAACTTCACTATACAGTGGTACCTTGGGTTAAGAACTTAATTCGCTCTGGAGGTCCGTTCTTAACCTAAAACTGTTCTTAACCTGAAGCACCACTTTAGCTAATGTGGCCTCCCGCTGCTGCCGCACCGCCGCAGCACGATTTCTGTTCTCATCCTGAAGCAAAGTTCTTAACCTGAAGCACTATTTCTGGGTTAGCGGAGTCTGTAACCTGAAGCGTATGTAACCCAAGGTACCACTGCATAGCATTTCAGCAAATGCTGAAGGTGCACCTCTTTAACCTGGTTTTTGACGCCTTTGATGTCTATTTTTAGGACCCACCCCTTTTCGGTGATTACAGGTTTTTTGGAATGTTGTATTTTAAATTGTGGTAACCCTGCCTTGGACCTTAGGGGGAAGGGCAGGTAATAAACCAAAATAGTAACATTAAACTGGGACCAACCCACTAAAACCATGGCCCATAGGCACAAGGACAGGGGTCTGAAAAGCCAGCCAACGCCTCATCTTGCCAGTCTTCGGCCCAATACATTCTGGGGGCTTCCCCCATGCAACACACCAGCTTATATTCTAGCTAGGCCCCTGTCCCGCTCCATTCCACCTCGGTCCTGCCCATGATTTGCCACATTCCACCCTGGTCCTAATCCCACTTTGCAATTCCCACTGAGCTGCCAGATTCCATTCTGGGCCCACTGGCTGCAAAGTCTTGTTACTAAAATATAAAGCCCTGAACAACTCGGGACCAGGTTACCTGAAAGACCGCCTACCCCTGTACAGACATGTAAGATCACTTAGTTCTTCTGAAGAAAATTTATTCATGGTACCACACCCTACAAAATATCGCAGTAGTGACTCAACCACCCCCAAATGGACATTTTGCACTATGGGCCCCACACTATGGAATGCCCTTCCTTTTGCCATACAGTTGCTTCAGATAACTTGTAAATGCATATCTTTTTTGCTCAAGCTTTCCCTGACCATAATACCCTGTTATTACTGAATTCCACCATTATAGTATTTTATATGTTAGACATTCTGTTCCCCCTTTACGTGTTGGTCCTTTGTTAAATTGCTTTTCTCTTTGGGGATTTTTTTTTGGCAGGGTGGTGGGGATGGTATCATGTACAGTGGTACCTCGGGTTAAGTACTTAATTCGTTCTGGAGGTCTGTTCTTAACCTGAAACTGTTCTTAACCTGAAGCACCACTTTAGCTAATGGGGCCTACCGCTGACACTGTGCCGCTGCTGCACGATTTCTGTTCTCATCCTGAAGCAAAGTTCTTAACCCGAGATACTATTTCTGGGTTATCAGAGGCTGTAACCTGAAGCGTATGTAACCTGAAGCGTATGTAACCCGAGGTACCACTGTACTTAAATGCATGGGGTGGTATTCAACTCAGTATTACACAGAGTAGACCCATCAAACTTAATGAACATGACTAAGTTAGGCCCATTCATTTCAATGGACCTACTCTGAGTAAGCCTCAGCTAAATGCCACACAATGTCTAGTTTGGCCCTCAGATAACCATTATTTATCATATGCCCCCTCCTCACTTTAAAAGCACATGACTGACTCTTCCTCATTTCAAGTGTGTTCACTTAAGCAGGGAACATTGGATTAAAAATGATCAGCCCCATAAATATACAGTATCTGAGACAGTTTGCTTGGGCTGCAGCACATACGTTCCACAAGAGGATTTGATGCAGAAGAGGGTTTATAAAAAGCTGCCGGAGCAGGTGGTTTTGTAATCAAGGTGGAATGCAAGAAAAAGAGGACGAAAAACTCCACAGCCTCTAAACTCTGTGACAATTATGCGCCTTCACTTCAAAGAAGCCCGTATTTTGCAACATTCCTTTACGCAGAGATGGGGAAGAGAAAAAATGGCCGCGTAACCATTTGTCTGGTCCTGCTCCACTTAAATGATCCTTTAATTTCCTCTCCTCCTTCCTATGCCCTCCGGTGGCTTGTCCGGCGCTATTTGGCCTCGGATGCATGAAAAGTTCACAGCTCGAGGCCTGAGCTGCCGATCCCCTGTCCAAACAGCCCTTCCCGAAGCACTTCCTGACTTGCTCAGCCTTGCGTGAGCCGCTCCTCAGATGCGTCGGCTGCCAGACTTCAAAATCCTTTTCATGGAAATTCAGACCGGCTCCATCCCCCTTTCCCCTCCCCTCCTCCTTCCCCCCTTTCCACCTTAGGCTTGATATCCGGAACTGACTTCGGAAGTACTCTAATGGTTACCAAATTTTTGGGAACCGCTTCAGATTTTCTGAGCTAAACATATGTTTAGCAAAAGCACAGGCCGTATCAGCCATCAACACTTGACCTTCTGACAGCCCCAGAAGTTGCTGGGTGTTTCCCCCTCCCCATTCTCCTGGCTCATCCCCCCCCCCGCCATGACTTTCCTAGGCTCCGTTTCTCCCCCCACCAAAG